CTACCCAGGACTCCCATTGGAGGAGATACATAAGTGGGTAAGATAAAGCACATCCTGTTCTCCAGAACAATTGTAACATCTAGATGGCAAAAACTAGACAAAGCAGTCATCCTAACAAGGGGCATTTGTGTCTATATACTACTCTGACACTACAGTCAAACCTGCAAAAGCTGGAAGCTGTGTGAGGCGGAAGAGAAAGAAAGCTCACTAAGTGTTTATGAGGTAGGATTCTTCATAGAGACTGATAGAAAAATCCTAAGACTGCACCCTGTCAAAGGCGGTAAACTTGCAAGACCCAGAAAAACAAGGCAGTCCCATCGAGTTCTGGCTGTGTAAATGGAGGAGGGCTGCTTCTTTGCCACCATTTAAAACAAGACCTTCACAGCAAAGAACTCCATGATGGACACTAAGCACTCTAAAAGCCATTCATTAAGGCGCTTAGATCCAATGACTTACTGACATTTTAAAAGAGAAGAGAATATTTTGACATCAGCTCATATTCTTCTTTGACCTAAGAAGTCTCGATAAATATCCTAGACATTAAGAGAGACTACCATTTCTCATCCTATCAGGAAAAGCATTACAGTTGACTGTTAATAAGGGCATTTCCGCATTCTCCATCATGGATGAAACGCTATAACTTACCACAAGACCTTTGTCAACCCTAAACTTCTGAATCAATATAGGCTTCAGGTTACAAGAGAGCCTTTTTAAAAGCAGGATCTTTTTACTAGGAGGTAGACACAAGAGAGACTCATTTATGCCACAGCATTCAATTAGCTTGAGTACAAAGTCAAAAGTAAATTAACATTTTCACCACGATAATTACTTTGAAGGGAAGAGGGATGAATATGGTATGCAGGAGGGAAAAAAGAGCTCAGAAATGACTACATAAAACAGACAAAAATCACTAACCTTACACTCAATCCAACAATTTCATTACAGTTGTGGTAGTTACGTAATCTGTTGTCCATGTGAGACTTAAGAATGGAGGCGTGCAGTTTAGCCTGTCAATCAGGTCACAGCTTGATGACCTCATTTGGAGGAACTAAGGAGATAAATAGCTCGCTGGAGGCGGGACACATGCTCACTCCCGCCGAGACATCCCCATGGAGAAGACACATGGAGCTACGCTAGAGCCCTGAAGCTGAAGGAGCCACATGGAGACCCCTGTCAGCACTGAGATGTTTCTACAGCCACTGGACTTTCCACCTAATGGCCTGCGATCTTCCTGCATTCAGCATTATTGCGTGGCTACGTTAAGTCTAAAAAGGAATTTATGGACTAGTATTGGACATATGGGCTAATATTAGACTTATGGACTAGATCTGGAGTGGGCTGGGATGTTTTCTTAATGTACAATTACTCTTTATATAAAGCTCATTCCTATACACGAGTGTCTATGAATTTGTTTTTCTAGTCTACCCGGACTAACACAATAGTAAAGGAGAATAAGGTAAATAACGTAAGCACAAGTCCATTTGTGCTTCAGTATGTTTACATTCTTTTAGTTTGGATATGAGCTTATTTTAAAAGGAGAGGAGGAGGGGGGAAGGGAAGAAGAGGGGATAACAAACCCAGGGACAAGGGAACAACAAGCGATCCAAATTGGTGGGGAGGTGGGTGTGGG